GGCGTTGAGGTTATGGACAACTTCGTTAAAATCGAAAAAATAGGGGAAGGGACCTATGGGGTGGTTTACAAGGCGAAAGATAAGCTGACTGGAAAGCTGGTGGCACTTAAGAAAATTCGTCTCGAGACGTACGTCGTTTGTAAATATTTATTTATAAAATCTATTTACCCGTGATGCATACCTATGCCGGGTAGTGAATTGTTCGTGAGCATATTCTATTATATTAACTACATAATAAGCGTACGATATTTTTAATAAGAATCTCTGGTTATTAGAATTTAATTAACGAGACTTCAATGCTTTTAGAAGTATATTAACCATACGAGATCTGTGTTTTTAATATCTTTAACAAAGCAAATCGTAATATCTGTATTAATGTTGTGTCTCTTGTACATTTGTGCATATAAATATAAAAAAATAATATAAGATTGGCAGACATTTTCAACTGTTATATGTGTACTAATGTAATTCTTAATTAATTTTTATAGTCAATTTTAGTGATTGAAGAGTGCATGGTACTGCACATATATCTATTTTCTAGGTGTAATTACTTTCTATTAATTTTTGCTTTTGGAACTTTTTCATTCTACTAACAAAAAAAATATTTTTTCCTTTCTTAGTATCACAGATAATTCAAATTTCATATACATACATATATTTAAAGATGGTTAACGAATTGAATAATAGAGAATTACAAAAATTATAGTTAGGGTATATGTTATATGTTTCTTAGGTATCCAAGGTATTACATTATTCTAACTCAATAATCTATTCACCTTGAAAGGATTATTAGTGCCTTTCTGTAATTATTTTCTTCTTTCACCATATAAATAACTGTCAAGGATAATTTATCAATTAAATTACCATATTGGCTGAACTTTTGCTTATATGCATTGCTAACACATCTGCTAATTTGCACAGTGGGGTCAGCTGAATCTGCAGGGGCCACGTTACACTAAATTTTCGTAGCACCACATTATTCAGCTTGTCCCATTGTGTCATGCTCGCCTGGTTTTTAATTTTATATCTTTTAATTAATTCATCACATCTACAAATGCTATCATTGGGGATTTTCTTCTATAGATTTGTTCTGCAGGAGTATGTACTTTTTTTTATTAAATGTAATGTGAAATCCTACACTAATTACAGAGTCAGTCAGATGTTCCTATCATTTGGATCCAAATATTAATTTGATTATCTTTGTTTTTACCTTTATAAAGCATGGAATCATAAGGTTTATATTATCACATATATATAATATAATTTATTTATTTTATAAATACTTCTGTCATCACATACCAATACATGTATGTAATAAAATAACATTAATTTGCATCAGGGAAAGCGAAGGAGTTCCATCTACTGCTATTCGGGAAATATCATTATTAAGGGAACTTGCACATCCAAATATTGTTCAGCTGTTCGATGTGGTAGATGGTGACAAACATCTCTATCTTGTCTTTGAATTTTTACAACAAGATTTGAAAAAATTATTAGATACTGTTAGAGGAGGATTAGATCAGGCTCTTGTGAAGGTATTGCTGTTAAAAGTAGTCAAAATTTTAAGTAGATACACGCATTGTTCAAAGACAATTCTCTTATTTTTACAGAGTTACCTATATCAATTGTTGAAAGCAATTTCCTTCTGCCACCTTAATTGTATTTTACATAGAGATCTAAAACCACAGAATCTGTTGATAGATCAGGAGGGTCATATAAAATTGGCAGATTTTGGATTAGCTAGAACATTTGGTGTTCCTGTTCGGATGTACACACATGAAATAGTAACCCTTTGGTACAGAGCACCTGAAATACTATTAGGAACCAAATTATACTCCAATGCTGTGGATGTTTGGAGCCTTGGTTGTATATTTGCCGAGATGGTACCATAACCCTAATATCAATGAAATATTTCTTTTGTATAAAACATGAATTGTTAATATTGAAAACTCGTTTACCTGGTATAATTTTAACTTTAAAATATAGAAACATTATTTTCATAGGCAACTAGGAGAGCGTTATTTCCGGGTGATTCGGAAATAGATCAGCTTTTCAGGATATTTCGTACATTGGGTACACCTGATGAAAGCACGTGGCCAGGAGTGTCACAGCTAACAGATTATACATCAATGTTTCCCAGGTGGGAACCACGATCCTTAGATGAAGTTGTGCCTTCCTTCAATTCTGATGCCAAAGATTTGCTTCTGGTGAGGATCGTGTTTTAATATGTACTCAATTCATTATCACTTATAATAATCTTAATTTTTGTTTGTTTCAATAGAAACTGTTGACTTATGATCCCAACCAGAGAATAACAGCAAAGAAAGGATTAAGTCATCCTTATTTCAACGGAGTTACATTAGTTCCACCACCACTGCCAAAGAAAAATTAATCTAGATATACTGTCTTCTAATTTACTATATTTCATAATTCTCTTTCATAACAGCACAAAACTGCCAATAATATAATTTTAAATTTAGTATTTTCCTAGTATTTTATTTATGCCTGGCAAAGTACTTTTTACCGTTCTGTTTATTAGTCGGGCTGTACCCTGTTCGCACGTCAGTTTTTTGTTCACTCTGCACGACGAACAATCGTTGAATACCACGATATCAAAGATTATAAAGCATAATATTATAAGAAATAAAAAATATTGTCTTTTATAAGTGTACGAAGTTTTATTGTAATAAAATAAAATTTATGGGTTTTACAGAACAATCTTTTACTCGGCGTAAGCACCGCTTCTGTCGTTTCCTGGCAAGGGATTAAAACTATTTTTAACTCTGACACATTTTAAATGTATAATGAAATGAAGATATATTTTGCTATGTACATCAAAGGTGATTTATATATATTTCTATTATAAGTATATTACTTTAGAAACTTCTCTATTTTGTGAATTTATGTGCAAAAAGTACTATCGATACACGAAAACATAGTTTGTTGTTTTATGCGTTATAAGGCATAACTTAAAAAATAATTAAATGTGTTCTATTTGAAACCGACTTTTTACAGAGTATTTTATAAATTCCACGGAACTGTTAAGTGGGGAAATTGACGAACTTTAAATCATTGATATTATACTGTAATTATATTTGGATAGGAACGTAGCTTTTGATAACACGAAAAATTCGTTTAATGCGCGACGCGGGTCGATTGCATAGAAGGTTCTATTAATTTCGGCAAACTGACTTTTGGAGAGGTGTCGGGATTTGGGATAGTTTCCTGCGGCGTGGGGGAGGGTGCTAGTTTTGGAAGCCGTAATTTTGTCGGAGATGCCTTTCCAGACATGCGAGGAGAATCTGGGCTCTTTAATCGCAAATTGTTCGGAGGATGCGCGCCAGAAGGTGGTCTTCCGGTCTTATTGTTTGTTATGTTTTTACTGTGCTCCAAATTTGGACTCTTTTTCATTTCGCTTTCTACCTCCGCGGTTTCGTGGGTCGACGAGTTCTTTCTGGATCTTACAGTTTCGGAAGATCTGGCGAAACTATTTCTGACCGCTTTAGGAGTCACCACGGAGGACGGTGATGGTAGCTTTTGCGTTTTCGTTGGCGTGGTTGGGGGTGGTTGTGGCAGATCTTCTTTCGTCTGCTCTGGAGACAAACGCTTCACCTCTTCGCTGTCATTGACCTGAAAAGTATCGACACGGTTAGAGTGAAACATTTCAAATACTTCTTTCACTTAGTCACGTTCACGTATATTATGTTTATTTACCTCGATCGTTTCAAACTTGTTAAGTACGGTAGAACCTCGATTATCCGAATTAATCGAGGGATATAAGTTCTTAAATAATAGAATATTTTTTGTACTTTTTTAATGTTGGTCTTTATATATCAGTCGTTTATTTTGAATCGTGGCATAGTTACTTTGTTTTTAAACCGAGATATTTAGGAATTTTAGTTACCACTAACGTAATTTTGTATACTTATTTCACTTTCAAAATAAACGTCTCATATGTGTTTCAAAAAACAGACGATTTGTGTTTTGTTACAAATACAAGTAAGATATTAGTATTCATCGCATAAACTTGATAATGTCTGGTTCTAAGTTAGATGTTGCCAAATTTTTTTCGAAGATTGCGAAGTTTGTGCAAACTGACCTTGATTTGCAGATGCGGTGAGTAATAGCGATGCTTCTGTGTCCACCGCGCGTGATATGTGAAGGTGACGTACACTCTGTGCATGTATTAATCGACGCAACTGAGCTAAATTTATTAATTTACGTTTAATGTTTCAGGAGAGAAAAAGTTAAGAACGATCGAGTTTCTCTTCAAAATTTTAGCGATAGCTTTGGCACTAAATCTAATGTTAATGTTTTGTGCTCACAAATTACGCCTTGTGTGCCATAAATACTACTTACTATTGATTAAACGAAAATTACTGTAACAAAATTGTGCGATAGAGTAGTGATAATCGAAATAGCAGTTTTTAAACAATATTTATACATCTCGTGTAATGTACTCTGTATCGTCGTACAAAGATTTTGAAAGGTTTTTGCTTGTCATTCTGTAAAACTGCCATACGAGACCATTTATTATAATAGATAGCTTTAAATTTGAATTTAATGTCGTCAATATATTTAATGCAACCCGCCTGTCAGACTGTAAGCCCGGTTGCCATTTATCAGGGGCAGGCAAAGTTGCCCCTGATGAGTAGCAACCGTAGCTGCAGATCGACTGGCAGGTTGCATTGAATCTACCGATAATAAAAATTCTAACGTAATACTTCTAAAACATGTCTTCATATGATAAATTCATAAATTTCTTTAAACAAATACAATATTATTCTGGATGAAACATACAGGGTGTTTCTTTTAACGTGTAGTGTTCAAATGTCTCATGGGGCATGATGAAGATGCCCCTGATAAGTGGCAACCGTAATTGCAGATCGACTGATGGGTTGCATTGAATCTACCGAGAGGCTTTATATTACAATGAATATGGTAGGTCGTTGAATTTGTTTAAACGATGCGAGGGATTGTTCACGAAAAAATGTTCCACATTTTTGTAAACATTGTGTATATTTAATTTTTTCCAAATTCTTTAGTAACTAAAACTGAACGGGGGCACCGCAAATGGGGGAACGGTTAAGTTCAATAAAAATAACCAAAGCGCAAATTGAGAAAGAAAGAACATTATAATAGCTCCTCTGTCGTTCTCGACAGGTGCATAGGATTTTTGTTACACAATAGCATTCGTACGAACTGATTACTCGTGACAATTGCGATGATTTGATATCATTTAATTTTTCATCGAATGCCAGAAAGTTAATCGAATCGAAGTGTATAATAATCGGTATGGAAGCAATAAACTATAACGCGTGTTACATACTTTCCTAGTTTAAGGTGTATGAATTCTTTAGAAGTGATACAGCCATGATTTCACCGATTCGTTTACATAATTTCAATTATTTAATTATCACCATCCATTCCTTTCTCATACTTCCCATCTTATCGTAAACCATTGATAATGTCTCACCGTTCATTCCGAAGTGTGCAACAAATGAAGATAGTTTACGTATCTACAATAACGATTACGAATTTCTCGTAGTCTATCATTTAAATACAATCAGAAATGTATTTAATGCAATCGCACGATTTACTTTCCTCGCTCGGTGAGTTGATTTATGATTGCACGCTGCGATTCTAATAGCTTTCTCCCTTGTCTTTCGAGTTAAAATAGGATCTCTACTGATCTACGTAGACGAAATCAATTCACTCGACAACGACGAGTCCCTCGCAACTCGATGCTTTCGGTACAAATCGACGCTCGACATCGTATAACGATTGATTTTTAAAAACATTCTCGTTTATGTACTCGAGTGACACCAGTCTAGTCGATTCTAAGCTCATTTTAACATGCAACGTATCAATTTTACCCGGGAAAATATCATTGATGGATTCGAACGCGACTCGACAACAGGCACGATGAACAACGAGGAATGTGAAAATTATTCAAGCACGTTGTATCATGTACAGAGTGTACACAAAAACTTCATTTTCACTGTAAAAACGCGCTGTGAGATAAAAAAATGATTTTATTAGAAACATCATCTCGAATGTACAATTGTTATCGTTACGTTATCGTTGACAATTCTGTTCCTTCATGTATCATTTTCTGCTAGAATAAAGGCGTCCTCGTTTCAAATGCTTAATCCATATTTGCATCCGTTATTTGCACGCTCATTCGCGTTACCGAGAAGTCAGAAAATGTTTAAATTGATTAGAGTGAAATCTTCACAGTTGAAAAATTTGTGCAACACTATATTACATGTCTCGTCTATTCTTTAACTACTATAAATATGACATATAATGCTTTAACCCGGAAGTAGGCGAGTTTAGGTAAACTTCTACCATCGACTATCGAATACCATTCACAGTGTTTAAATGTTGCATGATTCTCTACCGTTACAACGTGATCCCCATAATTCACCACTTATCTACGATTACTTTTTTAAATTGTCTTTTATTTTGCTTTAACCAGTCATTTATATCATATACTTTTTACATGTATCTCATATACTTTATTCGGATAATGAATCGTTATAATTATTATACTATACGTAACTCGTGTCCTGCTACAGCATTTTTTTGTTTATGTTTATTTTTGCCCTTCGTTCGTTCAGGAATATAAATATCGTAGTTACATTTATATGTTATGCGTACAACAAACGCGTTCATGAATGCACAGTAGAGAAGCCGGACTCGTGCTTAGTTTGAGACAATTTTGTTAAGTAGGTGTATATCAGTTTCTGCTACTTTGAAAATTACACTTTTTAATTGGCATCGTATTGTTCTCCTTTTTTTTTTTCTTTTATTACAACGCGTCGAAGCTTTGTTGGCATCTATTGGTATTTCAGAAGTAGCCTAAAAGTTCCGTTACATCTCGTAGGTTTGACAAAAATACACCTACCCTCGGGCTATTAGTCACATCACTAATCAGATTAGAACATTGAATCCGTTACTATGCGATTTGTACGCTGCATACGTGTTTATATCTTTCTTGCTGGGATTTCACCGTTATCAAGCAGAGCTGGGCAAATTTTGATAAATAACGATTTTATTCGTCGATCTCGAATGAATCTGTAGCGTTATTCGTTACTCGAAATGGCCTCGAATAAATGCACATCACGTATTTTCGCAAAGCCGACTGTTGCGTATCGATCCGCCCTACTTCCATTCGTCACTTTATTCGAATGAAAGCTCATTCATTATTTTCGAATAACTTCATTCTATTCGCAACTTGTACTCGAACCTTACTCGAGAGAGAATGTATACGATATATTTCAAATTCACGTCGAACAACGCCCAACTCTGTTCCTGGGTAATCACGAGAAACGAGAATTTACTTTTTATAACCTAAGCGTATCACGTTATCGCATTTCCTTTTCAGATCGGAAAAATGCCATCGGACAGATTCGAATGTTAAACGCGCGCCGGTGGGATACCAATAGTATCGCGTTTGTCGTCGGTCTGAGTTGGCCATTTCAAAATCCAGTTAAAGAAAGTTTCGTCGTATTTCTATAAATATTCATCTCTCGTTACTCTAATGGGTAATCCACAAAACGATGCCTTTATAAAAACTTGCGAAATCGTAGTATATAGTTGGTGGACTGTTATCGTGAGCGTAATAGTTTCTCCGCGATTGATAGACAATGAGGATGATCAGTATATCGTTTCTTTGTATGTAAAGTCACCATTTCTTCAATCTGAAAAAGTATCGCGAACTGTCCCCTTTCGTTCCAACAATACTCTCTTAATAAACGTTCCGCCAGCTCCAACGTCTTCCTCCGTACGTTTGGTTCGTCCTCTTCGACCAACCGGCACGACACGTGCTCGAAACGAAACACTTTTGTATCAACGATGCCGTAACGAGTACTCTGCGGATAAATGCGTGTGAGATTCGAACGGAAAAGAGTAACTTTCGTCGTATAGCGGATGGTTGCCATACCGCGCTAAACGCGTAACGTGGATGTTGCACGTTAATGATCGGAAGGGCGCACACGTAGGAGGAAGAAAGGCATCTCTCTGCCTGTCGCTGTGTTTCCTTTTCGATCGGTAATCACAACTTTGCACGGATAGGGCTCGTTCTTATGGCACGGAAAAATTCTTGCAGTTGCGTTTTTGTTATAAAACGATATAACTATATCAAATTGAACCGATCGATATGCGCGCAATCAATTGATTTAGGTTCGTTCCCGGTAGCGTTACGGTTGAATTTCCATTTAATCGTTAGGTCATCCTCGTACGCATATCGTTTTCGACCCGATTGAAACGGGTCAACGGTGCCCTTCGATCCAACCATCGGGGTAGAAAAATATGGGTGATTAATTAGACGCAAATGACACGAAAAGCGGGTCTAGCGGTCGAGTTTTCGTGATCTAGCATTCTTGATTGAGGTTTTCGTCCGAAGTGGGTAGATCGTTCTTGTCGGCGTTCATCGTGCCGGGGGGCACAGGGCTCTGCGGGCATAACACACGTATCAGGATTAAGGTGGCCCGCAAGGCCGTTACTAGTCTGGGTCACGTTAACCCTTTGAAGCATGAAAGCTTTTGACGTTTGTGTAGCACAACGTACAGCAAGTCGCGCGTAAGCGTTGCTGGGAGTCTGCTGCGTAAGGCCAATCGCACACGGCCGCAACTTATCAGTTTCAAACCACTCTGAAACTACGTAGATGCATGCGACCGTGGATCTAGGTAAAACAAAGATAGTGGAGTAGGTAAAACAAAGAGCGCAAACGGTTTTCAACACTAATTTCAAATCGGTTGCATCCGTGTGCGTTTGGCCTAAGTGTCGCGTTCTCATCCCCACTTCGTGGAACTTGGTACAGACCGAGCGACGCTTAAGCACGATTCACTGTATTTGTTCAGAGCTACGTACACACTTATTTACACATCTCTGTACTCAATATCACTGCAATGGCGATAGTACTGACAAGGAATATTCACGGAATGGTCGCAAACTAGTGGGAATGAGACAACAATTTTCATTTGTACTTGTACAGTATCGATCATTTTTCTTGCATAATTTTTTAAATCATTTTCATGCTGAAATGAGTTACGAGAATATATTAAACAAATTTATAAGTAAAATTTTTGTCTCTCTATTTTCGTTGACGAACAACATACGATAGTATTTTCACTTGCTAAATATATTTTTATAGGGTTCCATGACGTAGCTACACTATGAATTTCATATATTTTGAAATCCAGGAGATGTTCTTTCTGACAATTCCCACATTTTCACTGTTGAGTTCAACTAACTTAGTTTACTATTTAAACTACATCTAACTGTAAAAGCGTATAAGCGACCTATGTGTGCTTCAATTTCTTAGAATTATAAGTAGCGTTCTTTTGTACAAAATTAAACATAATGTACATTCCCTCGAACGTCTATTATCCCGACCTCCTTAAAAGAGATTAATTTGTCCGGCTATATTCTGTTCTTTTAATATACTTTTTACATTGGAAGCCTTTCAAGCATAATTAATTCTTACGAAAAAAATTGTGTAAGAAAGTATAAAAGCAATTCAGAATGTGCTTCAAAGGGTTAAGCAACTGTGGTATTTGGTTTTAATAGCTAAATCTGTAAACCGTGTTAGCTTACATGTTTAATTATACACTTTTATTGTTGTTTTCTTTTAAAATGATCGTAACGAAGTACTACCTGGTTTAAGTAGAGTAGAGATTCCATTGAAAAGTAGTTTGGAAATTTTGCTTCGAAATAACTTTTATGAAACACAAGTGTTACGTGGAAATTATTATTATTATTGCATACTTTCTTGATTCAGACTCACTTAAAAATGTAAAATAAAACTCGACAAGTAAAAGAGTGGACGCAATTTTATTGTTTATTCTCTGCATTAAAGAAGAAGGTTACAACATTGCAAAGAAGCATGCAATGCGTGTTTTTAAGCGTATTCGGTGGAAAACAGTACAAATATAAATCTAAGTATGACAAAGAATCTCGAGAAAGTGAGTGCAATTTAACTAATTAATTCGATGCCCTTTCGATATACCATGTAAACACTAAAGAACTTACAGATGTCGATGTTTTGCGTTAACGTGAGATAATTATTTCATTCTCGAGATTATTTTCAGCAAACCATACCTGTGATCCACTGCCACTGAGGCTTTCTACATTTGAACCAGTCTGTCGAAGGTAATCCTTATCGTTGAAAATCTTTTTATCACCGCCGCCTGGCTTATGCTTCACGTTATCCAAGGATCCAATTTTGCTCTCAGCTTTGATATCGATCTTCTGCGTCTGGATCTGAAAGTATCACCGAAAGATCCATTAAATTCTATCGTTTATCGCGTAAACTTCATTGGGCGCACAGAATAATACTTGTAACTAAAATTTACAATCGCCTACATATATAAAAAAAAATTCACCGACACAACAATTTTAGTAAATCAATAATTTACCTTGAACGCAATAATAAATGTATTTCTGTCAATGTACGCATGTGTACAAATTTTCACATGTGTACAAATGTGTACAAATACAAAATTTCCATTCTCATCCAACGACTTTTACGTGCTTCCTAAACTAAATTTGATTTTAGCATACAAAATAAAGAACTGACTATTTGAAAAGAATATGTACACTAATTTCGAAACATGCAGAAGCATGCTGTACTTTCTCCTAACTGAATTTACTTACTTAAGCGGTGTTTATTTGCAATCAGTCAGAATGAAAATATAAAAGGTTTCTGAAAAGGGGCTTTAGAATTTTGTTTTAATAAAACACAAATAGTGTAAAATATATTCGAATTATTATTTTGAATGTGACCGTTAACGATTATAATTAAATGTGAAGGATGATGTTTCAGTGTCCACCACGAAACCCTTTATATTTTGTATTCGTGACGATAATAAAGAAATTTTTCGCGCAAATCAACGTGAAACGAGGAGCATTTAAACTTGGCGAATTTTTTCAATGTTCAGATGTTAGTTTAAACTAGCACAGTATTATTAGCATTTAGCCTTAGTTGTGAGTTACTCCCTTTGTAATAGAATAATTTATGTCAGATTCGGTACCAGGTGACGTTGAGTGACCAAATACATCTCGGAGGAGGAAAATTACGTCAATGTTACATGATATTGCTTGACATACTTACGTTATTGCTCGTATCCTGTGGCGTCTTAGGTGGCGTTGCCGATGACTGAACACCAACAAACAATAATGACTTGTTAATAATGATGGGTCACGACACATGCATACGGAAGTCAACCTTTCATCCATTTGAAAGAGATGCTTAATTATAAACACAATGTCCTCCCGCATTAAGAGAAATGAACGTCGAGAAACACGAAGCGTTTTGAGTACATTGAGTCATTGTTTTAAGCGAAACAAATACTCTGCAATGATATGAAATCGTGAACTTTGAAAGCAGAATTGGCTTGTATACCTTTAATGGGTTTTATTAAATAAAATAATATCGTTATTAAGATGTATTAGTAGCATGAATCACAATATTAATTAAATAACGAATGTGCAACAAGAAACATTTTGTCTCGATTTAAAAAATCGGCAAAGTGAAGTAATCATTTCTCTTGATGCTGGAATTTTTATTTTCTGCAAACTTTTCGATACGGATCATTGAATTAATAAAAATTCACGACGTAGAATCTATGTTAACATTCTACATGCAACAACGCAATATATGTTGGAATAATTCACTTTCTACTTTATCAAACTTCCGAACATTCTCGTGGCGCATGAACGAAGCGAGCACTATGTTATTACAATGATATACGTTTAACAACGAAAAAAACAAGCATTTAATTAGTAAAATGATTTGTTACCATAAACAACAAACAGACAAGTTTAGGGAATTTCAAGCGAAAAAAATAGTGGATAACTTTACATCGAATAATTCAAAATTCTGTAAAGTACACTTATGTATGCTGTTTTATTTATTTTTGTGGTGTAATCGCTTTTTCCAATATCCAGCCATGAAGATGACGGAAACGCAAACGCAAGTAAATCTGATTTCAAATATCTTCTTTAAAACGAGTCTATGGAACGAGTCTATGTTTAACGAAGAGATCATTTTTATCCTGCAGTTGTAATTGATTATTTTTTGTCTATTCTAATCTAACTTGTTGATCGTAGAAAACTTTTGAATGTAATTGAAATCAAATAGTGCGAATGAGTTGATGACGTGTCGTTTGATAAATTGTGTGTACAAATGTACGGAGTAATTCTAAATAGAAAAACTGAACTATTTTTATGAAAATGGTAAATTACGAAAAGAAAGCTTTGTCTGCATTGGTACTTAATTTGTAAAATCTTCGAACTAAATGCCAAACGGAGATAAAGGGTTACTCTGGGTTACCTATAGTTCTAAGAATATTTAGTACTTCTAAGAAAACGTATCTTCGGAGGTATAAGAAATAAAAGCCTTACTTTAACGCTACCGCCGCCAGGAGTATGCTTGGCGTTGTCTTTGGAGCCGACTTTTGGTTTCGCTTTATCCTTAAAGTCAAGCTTCATGGTCTCTATTTTCTTGTCACCGCCACCAGGCTTGTACGTCGCGTTCTCCAATGATCCAACTTTTGGTTTTGCGTTCCATTGAAGCTTAACTTGAGAGATCTGCGTTAAATTTCCAGGAAAATGTGAGGCTAGTGTTCCAATTATTCCAGAATTATTATGTTTAAGAATACTGATGGCTGTGAAGAAAAAGAATCAGCATTTCCGAAGCGAAGTAGTGTCAGTAGTATGGAGGAGAAAGAGTCAGACACACGGCTGACCAGTAGGGCTGAGACTACTTGTTATTTTGAATACGTCAGGTACATATTTGGGTATTCGTAACATTTTAGTATAAACGAAGTTCTTTGAGTTCATAATTATTTTTCAAACTTTTTATACGAAATTTCTGTGTTAGACAAACTAATGTGTTTGCACATTTCAGTTGTAAAACTATAGAATAATTATATTCTGATACTTGAGTATTAAAAAAATGATACTGGTCTGCAGATTCTTTCTTCTCATACAAAGTGAAACCGAAATTGAGAGATGAAAAAATTTAAAGCGATTCGATTGAACAAAATAAAGAATTAACCTTCTTATCGCCACCGCTGGGCGTGTATTTCTCATTTTTCGCAGCGATCTTCGGCTGCGCTTTGCTGAAGTCGAGCTTCCTATTTTCAATTTTCACTTTTCCACCGCCTGGTTTGTAACTGGCATTATCCAGCGAGCCGATTTTCGATCGGACCGTTTTTAGATTTGGAGAGGGCGCTGCGCCCACTTGAACTTTGTTCATTGGTACTTCTGTATGGTTTAATAAAAATTATAAGTATATATCTTGAATAGAATCTGGCATTCTGTAGTATTTGTTCCTTAACATTATTATAAGGCGTATAATCGTTTGTTAAAATAGCAAAATGCTTTCCTATGAAGTATTATTAAGCTAAATGTAAATTTCATGACGCTTACTTTTCTTATCTTGGACACCTGTCGATGAAGGAGTTTCCGGTGTTCGTGGCAGAGACTTGATTGATTTACTCGGCGACTTGACTGGTGATCCAGCTGTTGAATTTTTATCTAGTTCTTTTGATTTGGAGGATGACTTTTTCGTTGGCGAATCGTCAACTCCATTTGTGGCTGATATCTGTGAGAATTATTGCGTTGTGTTATTAGGTTGTCAGAGCCATGTCGTAAAATGTGCCAATTGTACTCAGGGTATGTTTCTTGCAAGATCTTTGGTGAGTTCCGTACTCATTGTCCATTTTCGAGTAGGTTTTGAATAAAGGTTCAAAGATAACGATAAACAAGATATTTACCACATTGGACTGCACCGATTCGTCCATTCCATTGCCATTTTGAATTCCTGTGAAAATAAAACTAAATGTATTACAAGTATTAATTTAATATTAAAATAAATATCAAAGAGGCGTTTCACCGTGCATTTTTCAAGCAAAATCTTTGTAACTTCCCCAAAATATTGCCTCCATAAATACAACAACGTCAAGTCACAAAGTTGAAGCAAACAATATCAAAACACTCAAATACGAACTTTTGGTGCTTTCCTTTCCTTTTAAATACTCTTTGATTCATCAACCACCCCCTAGATCTCTCATAAGTATGAATAAGAACCTGAAGTTGCTGTAAGCTTCTTCTCTGATTTCTTATCCAACTCAGCAGGTGTACGTGGCCCGTGAACGTTAGGCGTAGTCGGTTTGGATGGAATTTTTAAATCAGGCGTCTTTTTGCCATCGTCTTTCGTCTGATTAGTCGGATCTTCGACGAAAGTGGTCTTCTTCTCCTCCTTGTTAACTGATTTCTCGCTATTGGCAGGTGACTTCGGAGAAACAGGCGTTTGAGGGCTGGACAGCGCTGGTGATTTTGGCGATAACGATCTCCTCTGGCCATTATCGAACCCTTTCACACTTTCATCCGAGGATTGGGCAGGAGACAACATGGACTCTGCCATCGATACTTTCTCTTGAGGCACTGAAGACTTGGATGAATCATTCGCGGTCTCTACAGGCCTAGGTGAACTTGTAGGACGTCTATCTACCTTCGTTTCAGGAGAGTCCTCAGCCAGTGTATCCTGCGGCAACTTCTCTGAAAGATTTTTCTCAGGTACTTTTGTTGTGACTGAATCCCCGAGCCGTTTAGTCGATTCTCCAGTCGAAGGACGGCCAACTGCAGGAGAAGGACACTTGGAAGAATCGCTCGACTCCTTTCTTGTAGGCGTTTTCTCGCACAATTCTTCAGAAGCTTGAAGCGATTCTTTAGTCTTTGGTTCCTGTTCCACTTTAGACTTCACATCCGTCGCTGATTTTTGCTCCTTTCGACTATCACTTGCCTCTGCTGGTACATTCATAGTCGCGCTAGTCGCCAAGGTAGCCTCTTTAGATTCCCGTTCATCCTTGGTCTGATTAATTTCCATCGGTGTGCTGACGCGAGACTTATCCGAAGATGAGTCCTGCGCTTTCAGGTCTTCTCCACTTTGACTGATCTTGGGCTCGACAGGCGTACTCGAACGCGATTTGTCCGGAGATTTCGATGGCACCTTTAACTCCTGATCACTTTTACTTTGATTAGGGTCTGCTCGATCCTTTGGATCCGCTGGTGTACTCGCGCGAGATTTATCAGGTGTCTTCGATGGCGTCTTCAGCTCCTGATCGCTGTTATTTTCATTCTTCTTCGCCGGAGTACTCGCGCGCGAGCTCTCCACAGACTTCGATGGGGTTTTCTGCTCCTGTTCTACTTGATTCTGAATCGTTTCCGATGGTGTGCTCGCTCGTGACTTGTCTGGACTTCTAGACAACGGAGATAGCTTTTGACCCTCTTCCGGCTGCGTTTTCGTCGGCGTCTTCAGGGTCTGTTCACTCGAGGACGTCTTCGTGGGCAGAATAGACTCGTGGGAGGCGTCCGATCTATTCAATTTGTCTTGCATATTGGCAGGAACTGGTGAAACGCTTTTCTCTTTGTCAACAGTTTTCACCGATTCTGATTTATCGTCTGCCTTTTCCACTTGTTTCGCCGAGGACAGCCTGCTGTCTGCTCCCGCGGAGCCTGAATTTTTAACAGACTCTGGAACCTCTCTTTCAGATTTTTCGAATTTCTGATTTGCAGCGTTGTTCTTGTCATTTAATTTTTCTTTCTCCATTTCATCCGACTTAGGGTCCATTTTTCCGTTTATCGTGGCGGATTCTGGTCTCTTCGGGGGCTGGATCATGTTACCTATATTGGGGGATTTCGACATGATCAACTCTTCTCGTTTAGGAGTGTCGACCCTGGGTGATCGGTTCCCGTCCATCACCACGTCATCGTCGTCGTCGTTTTCTGTGTTGTCACGCATCTCCTTGGCGGCTGAATTCTCCAATTGTTTTAGCTTCTTGGCATCGTCGACATCTGCCATTCTTTCGATTACTATGCGCGGAAGCGTGGGTTTTTTGTCTTCCTTCTGAGCCGACGGACTTTGCTGAGGTATGTTCAACAACGATTCATGTCGTTGTAGGTGTCGTTGCGCGATTTCTTGCTGCTGAGCAAGAACTGACCTTCCTGCCTGCTGCTGTGGGTTCTGAGGATGGAATACCGGTTGTTGAGGTTGTTGCGCGGTTTGTTGAGGTTGCGAGCCTCTCTGTGACTGTTGCGCTTGGTAACTTCCAGGATTCGTCAGTCTGAGACGTTGCTGTGGGCCTGGCCTGTTGGTTGGCGACGGAGCGAAACGTGGATTCAGTATAATTGGGGGATTTTGATTTTGAGGAGGCGGTCTCTGGGGAAAGGAGTTCACCGGAGGTCTCGGAGGCCCGTAAGGTCTGTGCTGCGCGAATTGTCCCGAATTAGGTGGGCCGAAAGGAGGGCGACCGTCGAATCGAATTTGCTGTGTCTGTCCACCAGGTTGCGACTGCCCTACAGGACCATTATTTAGGGGCTGTCTCGGTGATCCAGGTGGACCTTGCGGTCTCGCCCGAAAGCCAGATGGTAACGCTGCGCTCGATTTCACCTATGGAATAACAATTTGTGAAAACTCGCTTCCGCGCGAATCGGAATGAATCGATATTGGAATTAATGGAATTGATATGGAAATATTAATATCTCATTCTGTAAAAGAATTTCTTTTTTCGCAAGTTCAGGCCAAAATTAGACCTATCTTCGTTTTTAAAGATCAGATCACCGCCAAACCAACGAGACTTCTTAAAAACGCCCTAGGCCATTTTTAATATCCATTCATACAAAACTAAAAAAATAATTTCTTAATCTTCCAGCCACATACAACCACTATCTAAAAAGAAAAGTCAGGACTAATTTTCAACTTCACGGACTTAATTCTCGAAGACTTTGCTTCGCACCTGTTCGACTAATTCCCTCGGACAAAGATAAACACAAAAGTTTGTTAATTTCATCCACGACCTCCCCGACGTCGCTTATCGGTTTGTAACTGGTTGTGCCGCGTTTAAAGAATCGATCAGAACAAAGCGAAGGCGAGACGATTTCGAAGTTTGACTGTGCATGTGAAATTTGGGTGATTGATATTGGCCCTGAGCCCATCGATCATTCGATAATAGAATACGGCGATGTGTCGAGGATCCATATTTGCCGTACCTGCCACCGATCGACTTTTCACTCGTTATGGGATCATGCCACGAATGATTATATTGTAGCATACCGTCAACATCCAACGCGATTTCGCGTCATTTTAGGTTGGCGTGACCTGCAGCAGTAGCTTCTCTTCGGGGCCCACGACTGTTTCGGCTCGTTCCTCCACGGAAACCATCAGTGAAAACGTTCGAGGAGTTTGTTAAAATAGTCTGCACGGGTACACCATAATAATTGGGGTTTCGAGATAGTGTCAAGAACAAAATGTATTCATTGCATTACACAAATTTGGTAGTTTTACGAAGTTTTATATTCTCAATCCTTTTATTTCTAGAATGAAATCAACTACAATCCTTCATACTAATTGTATATCTTGGCAATCAGGGCAAAACGCTCTAAATTTGCCTGACAGTGAATAGGTTAAAATATAATTACTTTTCGTTTGTGAGAGTTATCTGCAAAAACATTTAACCCTAGAGTAGTCTGGCGGGTAGAATAGCCTGACAGACCCTAGTCGACGAACATTGCTTTGTAATTAGTAAAAGAATAGCGCGCGTGCTTTTGCATACCTTACAAGTAACTCACTGTGTACTTGTCGATACACTGTCGGGGTTTTCTGAGCCAGAGCAACGTACCTATCGAGGAGTGAAGAAACAATGGGGCTTACTTGACCCTACCAGAGCACTGACGCGACGTTTTTCGATCTAAGTATACGTACTTGAACAAGAATATATACCTTTACTCTTCTTTGTCATCAGACTACTATTCGTAAGTTAGTGTCAACGTATTTTGAGGATGTTTTCGAGGTAGATAAATTGATGTAATTTTTCTTTCTGAATGTTTATGACTGAGTTGGGATGAATGAGTTCCTGGCGTGAGTCATGCATTTTTTGAGGGTCAAAAATGAGAGGGTGAAGAGTGTCAGATGAGATTGTTTAAGAAACGTAAGTGAATAGAATGGATAACAAGGAATAGGAAGAAATAAATGTAGGATATGTTTTTTTTTTTGGTTAGCATGAAAAGAGCTTCCATGATATCTGAGGGTATTTAATATCAATTAAGGTTGTTGCATATGAAGTTGCCGATTTCACAAATATATCAAGTTTTTTTATAACGTGGTGGCTAAAAATACTGTCAGACAACATTCATTATTATCAATGAGAGTTTCATTTAGAATTCGGTCGTTTCATTTTGCAACAACTTAATGGAATTTCAGCTTACCATACTTCCTCCACGGTCCGAACCAGATTCGGCCGCGTCGTTTGCAGTTTTTTGCGAATCCATTTTGGGTTTGTTCGCGATCGAGTAGCGTTTAGGTCGATTTGAGGATCTCCTCACCCCTGACTAAATATTTCTCCATAAACCTGTTACGTATCAACGACGGTCATTCTATGAGAGAGATCATACAATTCTACGCCAGTGCCGAGTGAATAACCAACGGGTCTACGTTGTGATCAATGAACTGCACCAAATGAAAAGACACTACTCTTGATTGCGTGAGTCATCGTCGTACTTGAATGCAAAAGACGCTCGAAGAAGCACACTTAATGATGTCATTATTGTGAAACTACTTGAATGATGGCAATAATTACGGTTATACCTATTTTGTAAATTATTTTAATAATTTCCCTCTTCTAATGTTTTAGTTAAAGTTATCTTTTACACGGTTGTTTCTATTATCTTTGTTTAAAAAATAAGCGCCACAATCAATGAAATGTTATTTTTGTAACAATTGTAACGGTAATCATTGTGGCCGGAGTTGGATACATTCGTGAATAATAAATAAATTTTTATGTAGATTTTACTCATGAGTCATAAATAAAGTCATTAACATCAAACTTTTATCTGTATTTAAATAAAGTTTCATTTGAATGAAGCTCAAATAAAATGTTGTGACCTGAATAAAATGTTATTTTTTCTCAAATAAAAATGTTGATAAGTCGTTTACTTAGAAGAATATAATATGTAGATGGTTTTTACTCTACTACCTGTTCTGATAGGTACTTACGGTGCGTGCAATAACAATAATCTTCTATACTTGAGAATACAGGATGTGTTAACGTGATTGTAGCATTAGAATCAGCATCACTTTATTTACGGTGTACATTCTCTCGTGATTCAGCTACTATGATTGATCCAAACATGCCGCGATACAAATGAACCTAATTTTCCGACTGATCACCTATGATTCCAAGTAATAACAGTTATCAAAATAAAAATATTTTATTTCCTAAAATTTTATATTTAAATCATTTATTTGCCAAAACTTTTTGCTCAAAATATTCAATCGAACTGCATAGCATCCATTATTCACAATAATAAACTTTATCCTTAAATTCCACCCAGCTCTGATCAAGTTCCGTTTATTGTTACAAATAACCCAGTGTACCCTGTCTGACCATAAAACATAATTAAATGTTTCAGGTGTGAAAAGTGTTTACCCAGGAACAGCGAAAAGAAAATGGTGAAGATAGTAAAAAAGTTGTACGGTCGGAGGGGTTGAAGTTACATGAAGGAACGCACGCAACGAACGAAATTGTAGAACTCTGAAGGGATCATATTTCTGTGGAGAGCGGTAGCGATGGTTAACCTTGGTAAATATATTCGCGTGGTTATCACGCAAACCATGGCGGCTTCGTGCAGGAGATTAATAAGGGTGCAAAGAAGTAACGCACCCTTGATACAACGATTACGGTATTCGAATGCTTTCCCGCGATACTTCACCCACAGAAACGTTTAATTTCTTTGGACACTTTACTCCAGTGCACGTAATACGTTTACACGCAAGTATATATGTATGTATTTAATACCAAGAGTTTAATTTTGAAATTCGAACAACCCCGTTAGAAACTAGGTACATTCAAAGTCTGAAGCATCTTTTTCAAATTTTTCAATATTTTTCAAATTCTAGGGTTATTAATTTTTTACAAAAACGTGGATTTTATATAAATGACCATACTTCTTCGTGCTTGTATTTCGTCAGAATCAACCGTGATTAAAAACTTGGTATAATTTTTTTCAACAATTACGGTTAATTTCACGACTGATAAGTGGGTCTGTGCGATATCTTTAATCGACCAGTCACGACATCGGCTGATTGTAAACAAATTTAACGCAATAAAACTAAAAAAACGCAAGACACGCGTCTCAATGTCTTGTGGCTTGAACGAACGATAAGATTATTCACGATTATTCAAAATAACCTTGCGGTGACCTCCAGACATTTTACCATCTATAGCATGTATCTCGGTTATTCTTTCTTAAACACATTCATGAAACTAATTCAAAGTATTGTCGGCAGTCCCTTTCCAACCCTCTTCTGGCCTAATACGAACCTATCACGATGCGAAACTATAGTTATACGAGAATTTCGTGTGAACTGCGTTCAATGCACGGTGATTAAGATATCTGATTGTCAGAAATAACTGTTCGCTTCGAAAACGAATCGTTTAACTGGATTGCAATTACTTTGTTGCCTTTGCACCCTTTCAACCAAGGAAACATTCGTGCACTCGTTTGCAGTAGATTCCTATCAATCGCAGTTTCCTATCATTTGTGTACAAATGAGAAAAAGGATTGAATAGCTAACAGGATATTTCCTCGACAATTTTTATTTTATTAGAGTAATAGAGTTTTGAGATTTAATTATAAATTGATTGATAAGAATTGTTAACACCTTTAGAAATAATCACTGGTACATATTTACATGTACATTTGGTTTTTAAATAATCTTATGTAGTGTAATACAGATCCAACCATTACAATTTTGAATAAATATTCTTTAGAATTTTATAGAATCATCTACCATACTTTTGTATTTTTGAAAACTCAAGGTACGCGCGGTATTCAGTACGACTTGTCTGGCGTGTCTGTCCATTACTCGCTGTTTCTACTTACGGTGCTATTTGAAAGCATTTATTACGCTGTGGTGTTATCTGTTTTAACAGATCCGAACTAGTTATCAGATGGTATAATTAACAAGAAAAACCTGATAAGTAAGAAGAACGGTAGGTTATACAGTTGATAGGCAGAGTAAAATAGCCAGTAATTAATTTAATGTTCAATGTATTCACTTATGGTGAGAGTATTCTTTAGGTTTATTGCGTTAATATATTACGTTATTTTATGTAATGTGTTCAATAATTAATAAAGACATGTAGAATATAAACATAATTATTCGAACGCTAGAGATAAATAAATTAGTTTGTATTCTTTTTGTTCGATCCATCAGAATGATCCACCAAACCTATTTTCTTAGTTCTATATTAAATATTTTATATTTAACCGGTATGTTTCTATTTGTAACCTAAAAAGAATTGTGGATCGTGATCGAAACTGTCGTTTACGTGACCAAAACTTTACGATAAGCTCCTAACCAACCAATCAACAAAGTTTAAATTACTGCAACGAATCCAATCGTGTAAATCGAGCAGAAAGATATGTACTTTTGTATTATTGTCGCTCTATTCCCGAAAGATGATCGGGGAAGACTTTCAAGCGGTGACCACAAGCACGTCAAAGACTTCCGTTCTCATTTTCCAGAGAGAGTCAGAAACAGGTCGCGAACACAGCGTGTTCTGTACGTCTCGGCAAGTGCCCATTCCTGAAGTTATTGATCCGACCCGGTGAGCGTGTTCGACTCTGGCGTTTATATGCACGTGGATTCACATCGTGTAATACGGTTAAGTTAACTTTTCAATGAGTACACGTGTCGTAAAAGGTTGTGACACCTTCGTGACGAGTGTCACGAGGACCATTAGTGGATTTGAATTCTTTTGCGTGAAGACCGTTTAATTAATTACAGTTAGATACGGATCGTAACCCTCGAAAAGTGTAAACTGTTGCTGTTTTATATAATCTGGAAATGAAATTGTGAATATTTATTCACGATTTCAATGGTTAGTTTGTTTATTACGATATTTAAAATAAAGGTAAATGTATTGTATATGAGTTGAATATTTTGTATACAGTAGGACTTCGTATAACTTTAGTTATGAGTCACTTTTAAACTGAAATGAACACCGTAGTCAGAATTTTAGATTTAATCTGGGTTTGAGGAAACGAGATCGCAACTGACGCACACAAATAGGTAAGCGGAAGCACAGCTGAACGTGACCGAGTAGTAATAAAAGTTGTTAGATATATTCCATGTATATACATGTTTCATGAGAACTGAAAATCTTGAATCATAAATTTGAATCCCAGTTAGATGTAAATCGCTTGAAGATCTTTCATATATTATTTCATTTTTCATATTTTCACATATTATGCAAGAAGTTAAACTCGAAATTTTTATTTTCTAAATTAATTATTATAGTGTTTAAATGAGTACACCTGGTGTCTCTAATTATGTACATCGTTCTGGCGCAGCTGACTCTTACAGGAAAAAAGAAAGAGTAGTCTGGGATTAAGTATATGTCACTACTTGTAAGTAGAATGTGGACGTCTGACTATAACGTCTGACCTAATACGCTTCTAAGGAGAGTCTTTTTTCCTTCTAAGAATGCGGGGAACTGTCGTAGAAATTCTATAAAGAGTACTTCAAACTTCAATCTTTTCAAGAACGAATTATTTTGCTTGAAACAGACTAAATTTTCAGACACGAAAAATTGATTCTTAACTAATTTGATTACAAATTCAGTGGTTATATTTATGTTATAATTCCTCTATGCTGCTCACCCCTCCTTCTTTTATTGTTGTAAACACGAGTCATTCATTTCGCGAAAACTAGGAAACGTACAAAAAATTGGATCACGTGACACAGGTGATAGAACGAGTCGACGTAACGATTACAACGGTTCACGCGCGTGCACGGTATTTTTGATCATTTTTAACAGCATGCAACCGACGCGAACGTTTGCATGTGACAAACATAATTCTAAGGAATTGCATTCAGGTCAACGAATGAAAATAACGCGATAAAGCGTTTAGTCATGGTTCGGCGCATAATATTAAAGGAGGCATACAAAGTCACCACTATAAAATTCAATATGCATTTAAGAATTTTTTTGCTTGTATTTATATGTTAGGTGAACCGGAAAGATAATTACATAATCGATTAAAAATAGAAATTTATTAAGAATGTATTTGTCTGAATTTAATGCAAAGGAAATGACATTACTTTTTGGTACACCTAATATTTTTGAGACTTTATTCTGGACCAATTCCTAAATTCCCTAAACAAATCTGTAAATCTCACGAATATCAACGAACGTAAAATAATATAAGTGAGACTTATATTGGAAGAAAGGAATATACGATTTCAGTACAATGAGCGAAAGCTCGTGACACGAAATCGAATGACTCCTCCGGTCGTTGAAGGGCAATTTGCGGATGACGTATACTCGCTGGAACAAACATACTGGCGCTCGTAAACGCGGTAGGGAGTCAAGACGATACGGCCATAAATCATAATTTCAGAGCTACACCTACGAAGCTTTCTTATGCAAAAAAATTACATTCCAGAAAGACAAAGCGATATTATCTACGAGGGCAAATAACTTCTAAAAAACGATTTTTCCTTGCATGAATGCAACCAACAGACACCTGGACAATAGGGAAAATCTGAGAGGGTCTCCGGAAAGTCACCTTGCTTCTTTCATATACTATACTCAATCTATACGTCTTTAGGATACGTCTCTATACGTGTTAAGGATGACGAGAGAATTTTTTCCTTATTTTAATGTTCAGTGGATACTAGATACAGTCTATTGTATCAGTCTACCTATCCATCAAATATGCTATAAAATATTCAATTAAGTTGGCAATGTACGTCTAACATACTGGAGGAGCAACAAAGTATCGATACCTATGACAATAGGAACGTTTGCCATTAATATTAATATAACAGTGATATACGCGTGTATTGGTTGTTCGAGAGAGAGTGAGGTCTCTGGGCCAATGCACTCTGCAGGAACCTCTTGTTCAGACAAATTATGTATCCTTCTAATATTTGTGTTATATTTATGTTTGTCAATTTTCTTTTCTGATAGAATCCTGAATACTTCATTTTCTTTAAATGGAGTAATATACATTTTTTTGTGTGTATTTTTCAATGTAACATTTTACTAACACAAAATTTTCTAATTGACAAGAATCACATTAAGATCAGCGTATAGTGAGATAGAAATGATTTTAATGGAAATTCACCGAGGAGTACGAGCTTTTTTTGCGAGAGTTCATCAATTTTTTTACCTGATATCACTTTGAATATCTGACAGCGCCGTTATTGATGTACCAACAGAACGTGTCGCTTCATTCGTTCTACTCTCTTATTTACCGTTTTTTAAAATACACAACTTATCCAAAATCGTTTTCAGCGTTTAGCGTCATCCTGAGTGACATTATTTTTTTTTCACGCTTACTCGTGGAGATTCATCTTCTTGCAGACATGTAAGAGCTTACGAATAACGTATCTAAATATTCCCAATAAAATTCCTCCGTCTTATTTAGACGATTTTAGTTATCGACCATAAAGCAACTGATATACGAACCTACTATCTATCCCTGGTTCGTGATCGCGGTACCACTGACAACGATATTTTGAATCGCCTAGTTTCCAGTACTTCCTTACGTGCAACTCGGATATTTA